ATTTCTGTTAAAAATTACAAACCCTCACCTCTCATCAAGATCATAGCCATGATCTTTTTTCTTCATCAGTTTGAATGATACTTTTTTATTTTTTCCTTTTCAAAGTCTCTGAAACGAAAATATCTCAATTAATTTGAAATGACTATTTCTCACTACCACACGGACAGGAATAATACCTATACGCGGACACAATAGCACAATTATTTATTGGCTTGCTTGGCGCTACAATTAGTCCAGCAGTCACTCATATTATTCCACACTCTCAGGTGCGTGTCTGAGGGGGGTTAATGGGGTAATAACCTTCCCCCATGACTATGACTACATAGAAAAATAATTCGAACATTTCTAATTTTCGAACTCAAAAAATGATGAAGATGAAGACACAACTATGGGTTTTTACACCTGCCTTCTAGTCTTCTAGCTTCAGGAGCAAATTATCGAAAATAGGAAACGTCACACTTCTATTATTGAGTGCATAATTTTTTTCGGTCATCAGAAGATTCCTTTAAGAGGACATAAAGACTGGGAAGCTTTTGAGATAAAAACTACTGGAACTGAGTATATTGATATAGATGTAGAATCTTCACCCACTACAAATGAAGGGAATTTTAGAGAACTCTTACGTTTCAGCGTCGAAAATGGAGATACCATACTGAAAGAACATTTGAAAAACTCTCCTTCAAAAGCAACGTACATCAGCGCGAAAACTCAAAATTAACTGATCGAATTATGTTAAGAAGAAATTCTAACCACTATATTGAAGAGGATTACAGATTGTAAGTACTAGTGTATTTGATGAAACTACAGACGTTAGCCACATCTCACAAATGTCTGTCATACTCAGGTATGTTTCAAAAATTCAAATTTTTGATTTTGTCGATTTTATAAATTGTCATCCCTCTAATTACAATGAACCTTCGGTAGAACCAGTTATGACAAGCAAACTGTCGTGAAACTAATGAAATCTTTGAATTTGAATATGGATCATTGTGTGGGAATTGGTACCGATGGGTGCAATTTAATGTTGGGTGAACAGAAAAACTCCATAAAAGAATTACAACAAAAATTCAAAAATGCTCTGAAGTACCTTTGCAGTAATCACGCATTGAATGTATCTATCTCGAGGAGGTCATGAAAGAAGTCATCACCTTTTTCAATTCATCTTCTAAGAGACACAGTGTTCTATTGCACGTCAATGGAAAGAAATTAAAAATATTTACCCTTTAATTCATACGATTTTACAAATTCAGGACTTGCCTTGCTAAATATTCATTGGGATAGAAAATTAATATAAATAATATCATAGATAGATATAGCGCTAAAAAATGGAATTTACAATTTAATATCATTCGTCTATTATAACCTGTTTTTGTTATTTTGTCTGTTTTGTCATGTTTATTTATTTTTAGTTATACATTCTCTCATTTTTGAGTTATGGTTTTCGTTTTGAATAATATTCTGTTTTATTTATTTTCAGTTACACATTTTCACATTTTTGAGTTTTTTCATTGTTTTCGTTTTTTCAAAGAATTAAATACGCAAGCCTTAGTGTTACTCAAGTTTTGCACAAGACGGATGGGCCTAGCGGAGAGCTGATAATAGATGCAAGCGGCAACCGGTTCTTTAGTACTTTTTTGAAGTTTTTTTGGGTTTTCACTGAACGTTTTACGATTCATTTTTTTATTACAAAAAAACTACGCTATCCTTGTCGTTATAAGTGACATTTTTCAGAGTAAGAAATGAGAGTAAGAAAGCACATCCCGTATTATTGAATCTAACAAGCCAGTCTTGAAGCCAGCTAGTTTCATAGGTCTTATAAGAAGTGTCGCAAGCTCCTTAGAAATACAGTTTACCATGTAAGTTATATAAATGAAATATTTCTTTTTGCTTGTCCAGTTATTCACATTTTGTCTTCAATCAAGGACCGCCTGCACAGGAAGCTGAAGTAATACCATCAAGCACCTGTGCAATGTCCTCCATCCGGAAGATTTGTCGCAAGTTACCTACTTCCCACTAAAAAAATCAGAAATTAATTTCATTCAGTCGGTACGACCAACAGATCGGGTACTTGCTTGTTTCTGCCGGTTTCTGGGTACTTGCCCCATCATCAGTACCGGGCAGATCAAGTACCCCAAAACCGGTCGAACCGACCAAATGAAATTAATTTCTGCTCTTCCTAGTGGAAAGTAACTTGCGACGGATCTTCCGAATGGAAGACGTTGCACAGGTGCCTGATGGTTCCACTTCAGCTTTCTTCGCGGCATCAGCTGAGATAGTTGTTGTTTTTCCGTCGTGTATCTGCTACACGTACCTACAAAGTCGTAGGTCTATATGAGAGGCAAGATGTAGGGTGTTTTTCACCTGAAACTGGATCATGTCACATGCACATCTCCGGAATATAATTATTATCCTGACTCCAACACCGAAGTATGTGTTTGTGGAGGTGGCGCAGTGGACATCCGTCCTACTGAATCAACTGCAGATGAAGTTTATGAATTGGAATTAGTTTTGTTTTTTCGGAATTCTCAGACGGTTCACACAGTTCTGAAATAGGTCTCTCGGTTGGTCGTACCGACCAAATGAAATTTATTTCTGATAACAATTTGGAGATAATGACAGAACGCAATTCTTCAATATGATTTTTTAAATCGTGAACTTTCTCTTATTTTTCATCATTACTGATGAGTAGGTACTTAAGGTAAGTGCGATAAGTGGCAGTGCACTATACTGACAGCGTTCAACGCCTGGTGGTAAATAATTTTTTACCATTTAATCTAGGTAGGTAGGTCTGAAGTGAGTGGATCTTTTCGACCCTCCACCGCAACCCATAAGGGTTTATTGTGGCTCACACCTATTCAAACTCGGCCAAATAAACCCAGCTTCTTAACGAAGCCGATTAGTTCGTATGGTGAGTGGTTTTTCAGGTCAGATGGTGAGAGTACGGATCTGCCGAACTCAAAGAACCTGATTCGGTCCCCAGCGGGGCAGGCACAAAGTATATGCTCTGCGGTTTCATCATTTTCCAGACAGAGGCGACACACTTTGTCTTCCGACAGTCCAAGTCTCGGCATGAGATGATTCAAATGACAGTGACCTGTAAGAAGAACCTGATTCGGTCCCCAGCGGGGCAGGCACAAAGTATATGCTCTGCAGTTTCATAATTTTTCAGACAGAGGCGACACACTTCGTCTTCTGACAGTCCAAGTCTCTGCATGTGATGATTCAAATGACAGTGACCTGTGAGAAGGCCTGTTAGACATCGTAGTTCATCCCTACTGTACTCCAACAACTGTTTAGAATCATGCTTCGAAGGGTGAATAAACGCCTTGGAGTGAGCCAATCCTGGAAGATTCTGCCAGAAGTCCATAACTCTTCTTGCCATCCAGGTGTTCAGTGTTTGTTTGGCAAAGCCCAAAGCGATGCCAATGACAGGTTCTGGTCCAATGAAGCCACTTGCAGCACCCTCTTTTGCAAGAGAATCAGCAGCTTCATTGCCTTCCAGGAATCCAGACCAGAGACAATCTGTTTAGTCTTCCTATCGAGGAGAGTCTTTTTTTTGCAGTTTGCTACCAATTTAGACGTTGCTTGGTAGGAGCCAAGAGCTTCCAACGCCGCTTGACTGTCCCAGAGTATTTTTATTGTCTTGTGAGTGAGGTTGGATTTATCCAATCTCTCCGCACACAATGGAGCATGTCATATGCACCTCTCCGGAATATAATTATTATCCAGACTCCAACCCCGAAGTATGTGTTTGTGGAGGTGGCGCAGTGGACATCCGTCCTACGGAATCAACTGCAGATGAAGTTTATGAATTGGAATTAGTTTTGTTTGTTCGGAATTCTCAGACGGTTCACACAGTTCTGAAATAGGTCTCTCGGTTGGTCGTCCGACCAAATGAAATTTATTTCTGATAACAATTTGGAGATAATGACAGAACGCAATTCTTCAATATGATTTTTTAAATCGTGAACTTTCTCTTATTTTTCATCATTACTGATGAGTAGGTACTTAAGGTAAATGCGATAAGTGGCAGTGCGCTATACTGACAGCGTTCAACGCCCGGTGGTAAATAAATTTATACCATTTAATCTAATTCCGAGCAGTATTTTTTCGTGAAAGTTGAGTATTTAATGGATGTAGCTTAAAATAAAATCATTTTTTGAGGGAGAAGTCATAGAAATTTTGATTTAATAACCTAAAAGTTAATTAACAATCGATATTTCAAAGTTTCAAATATTATATCGTACTATGAACATTGACCTCTGAATCCTGAAATTTTCATGAGGTTATCTCTTACAGTTTTTTTTACTGTCAATTTTACAATTCAAAGTCGTTAATATTTTCATAATAAAAAAATTTTAAAATGAAAGTTTTCAAGAACTGTGTGAGGATTGATTGTTAATAGTAACTACTTCATGAAAAATACATAAACCTAAATTCCATTACCAAGATAATAACATTACCAAGTAGAATAGAAATGATTTAAAAGAAATTGTGACGTTATTGAATAATAGTTCGATCGAAATATCTTCAAACTCAACTGAGGTAACTTATTTTGGAAATATTACCCTCTTTTTCTGCTGTCCTGAAAATATGATAATGAAGTTTGGAGTGCCTGAAAATTAAAATATCTTTTGATGTCAAAAATTCTGCTTTCCTTCCTCTCGCCCGACATCGAATACTTATCCAAAATGTTTCAAGGCTTTTCGAAGAATATACTCATATATAATATGAGAATATAATCCTCATCTTCGGTTGAAACGAATGAAGCTGATTTTCTGCTTGAATGGTACTAACAATGGCTTTGGCTGTAATTCATTTAGTATTTCAAATGAATAGTGGCGATGGCGATTCCCCCTAGTAATGATCCATCTATTTGAATTAAATAATTTTTGCCATTTTACACTGTCTCTTTGAACAACCGAATAAATTCAGAACTCTCAGTTACCCTGTGTTAGCACTTCGCACATCCCTAATGTAGACGAAGGTTGCTGTGAAAATGTACTGACAGTTTTAATTTTTGCACTGATATTGGTGACAATTTTTTTTAAATGCAGAACTCCCAGGGTTGTTATTTCAAAAGGGATAATACGAAAAGGGTAGATTATGTTTTAGTATTTGATAGAGAAAACTTTGTAAACCTTGAAACATATATACATAACTTGGAAGGAATTGGTTTGGAATTTGAAGTAGCCCAAGGGATTGTAAGTACCATTTAGGCAGAAAATCATCATCACTTCATTTATGTGAATCGTAGACAGTGAATAAGGATTTTATTCTTATACATATCCCCCAAAAAGCCTTGGAACATTTTGGAAAGGTATTCGATGTTGGACGAGAGGAAGGAAAGCAGAATTTGAACCTCAAAAGATATTTTAGTTTCGAGGCCCTCCAAACTCCATTATCATATTATCAGGACAGTAGAAAAAGAGGGTGAGCTTCTTAAAATGAGTAAACTTAGTTGAGTTTGAAAAAAAAATCGATCGAACTATTATTCAATAACTCCACAGATATTAGGGTAAAGTGAAGGAATGACGGTCCCTTAACAGTTTTTCTAATTGTTATGACATATTTGAATATGGGGAAATATTTTTTAAATCAATATGAAACTGAGAAAACACATAAACTACTTCATTATCAAAAACGAATATCTATGATGTATTACCTGCAGTTGTTGGAGAATAATCGTGGTCACAGGCTGCTATTACCCCTAATAAGTTTCTCGTTGACATTTTGTATCACAGTAGGTGTAATATTCATTACCTGATTCGGTCTCTTGGGTCATTGATTTTGTCAGGTTTGTTAGTATAGACTGAAATCAGGTGATTTGGTGGGCCATTTCAGAAGATTTTATTTACAAATTCGTGTACAGTTGCATTGGTTATTAGAAAAATATGAAAACTCTGAGTTGAATCAGAATTAATTTCATCTGCAGAAATTAAGTTACAATGCTCCTATCAATTTTCCATAAAAAATGAATCAAGTCAAACATTTGAAGGATGTTTTGGCAATTAACAATGTCGTTTGAATAAATTGGTACCTTATCTGAAAATATAACTATTATGTTGATGAAATTTCCATTTCTATCATTTGTGTACATTATAAATATACTCGAAGAATTCAATACTTCATCGTTAGCCATTTCATCCACGGTACAGTGTGGATTTTCAATTGTATCAATTATTCTTGCAGTAGATAGTGTGTGGAATAGGTTCTGGATCTGTATGCATTAATCATGATTGAAATTTCACTACATATCCTTTCAAATGAAAGAATACAGAAAAAACAGTTTCACTATCTAACTTTCGATAACATACATTCCAGGAAAACGTACCTTTGTTGGGGTGTTAACAATACAGAATTATGTTATCATATGCCATATTACAGTAGTGGTAATAGTTATCGAATAACGGTAAGTTGAGAAATTTATCGAAAAACATCAACAAATCTGGTGAATGTATAACTATCCGATCTAATACTGGAATTCACTAGTCCTTCAATCATTTTTATAAGCAGATATATATTTTTCATTCACTAGTTTCATGTTTGAATGATTCAAAATCTAAGTAGTTTTTTTCTATCTATGAAATTAGTGAAACAAAAATCCTAATGAAAATATTATATTGTATATCATCTACAGACAGATCTAAATGACTTCAACAGATACGAAGACGATTAAATGGGAAAAAGGTAACTGTCATCGGAAACGATACAATGGTCGAGGAAAATTTACGAGGACCCTCGCCCTTCTCGAGTTATATGGGGAAAACCAAAAATTTACTTTTACCTTTTTTCCCATTTAATCGTCTTCCTATCTGTTACGGTTTAGAATATAGCAATGTTACCACATAATAAAAGAAACGGCCGGAACCCCCTATTGGTGTAACACCCAAGTCAACTTGCCAAGTTTTTATGTCATTATTGGTGATTTCACCAATCAACCGACAACTGCTGTAGCAGAAATTTGAAAAGCTGTCCTCGAATGCTATCGGAAAACGAATCCACATGTTTCTAGAAATGATATTTAATTGAAAAAGGTTAATGTAGTGAATCTGCTGGAAAATCATTCCAGGAAAATTAAAAAATAAATACATAAGTACTATTTTGATCATTCCCATATTGACTTCAATTTAATAGCCACCGGTAGACAGCTGTTTCAACCTGTTCAGCATCGTCAGTACTGGCGTAAACTAGCAAAATTAACAAAAATATTAGATTTGGAAAAAACAAAAATACAAACTCACTAGTATTGCTGATAACATACCATCAAGAAATCATTCAAAATTCAAAAAATAAACCACCTGGTTATGATGTCTTAAAATCATAAACAATCAAGATAATATTCAATTACATAATAGAGCCATTGCTATAGGTATATTATAAAATAACCTTCAACATTTGAAGACAAAATTGTTATTCCGACATTCAAAGTGAGAGATAATGCTTTGGCGAGCAATTATAGACGAATATAACAAACACCACTGGAATATTTGAAAAGGTCATTGAATCGTCTCCTAAACGATACCAAATACTCTCAGACATTTCGGATTCAAAGAAAAGGTATCCACTGAGGATGATATTCCTTATCTGACTGTTGATATATACTCTGCTCTGAATACACGATTCATAGATCAAAGCATTTGAAGCCGATAACCACCCTCTTCCTTTAGAATCTTTGGAAGAAATTGGAGCAAGAGGAAAGTGTCTCAAACCGTTTAAAAATCACATATTGGACAGATATCAGTGTGTCCGAGTTAGAAATGTTTGGAGTGAAAACATGCTCATCGAATACTGAGTGCCGCAAAGATCCGTTGTAGGTCCAATACTTTTCCCATCCAGACCATTAACTTGACCCTACGATATTTCATGAAGCAGCTTGTTAGAATGAATTGAAAACTAAAGTTTATTATGACATGTCCCTCATAAAGCCATGGTTTGACCGAAAATCATTAACAATAAACCTGGAAAGCAGTATTTTCATTCCACGTGCAACAAATCAAAATTACCATACTTCAATTCAATAGAAATAGAGGCCGAAAAGATTAATCATACCCTGTCAGCAAACAAACGTCAAAAAATCAGAAGTTATAATTTGAGATGGGTTGACCGTGTTCAACCTATTATCAAGCAATAACCATTTATAATCTACCATTTATAATATTATGAATTTCGATATTATTATGGACCTTGAGGAGCAGCACTCGAAATGTTAGGAATTTTCGAAAGAGATTCCTAGAACTAATGCTTCACAAAAAAATGGATTATCCAACATAGCCTTTTTACAAGCCTTTGCACAAGTACTCGACAGATGTGCCATAAGATATCATGAAATCAAACAAATACACGATATATAACAAATGGGTTACCAATATATTCTATTCATAGAGAAATCCTATAAATACTTGGAACCAAAAATAAACAATTTTATCCCGGAGAGATGAAAAACCTACCAGACGTATTATTCGAGAGAGAACGCAATTTGATTTCATTCGGTGATTCTAGAGCCAATATCTATAACATAATAGATTCAACAAAATCTCATTGAAATCATTCTTGAATACTTTTGTCTTGTTATATAATTATTGATAGTATATTTTTCAGATGCAGGATTGTCTATATTCTATTTTTCGGACTATAGACCTTCTAGATTGGTTCACAGCAAACAAGCTTCTGATCAATTTCAATAAAACAGTCAATTTTTACAAAAAATGGAGTATTGAAGCCAACTACAGAAACCAAATTCTAAGGATATAGCAGTGGTGAATAAAAAGCTATCTAGTGTCATATATGCAATACAAACTATAAAAAATTAAGTGGGTTTCAACGTAGTAAAGAGTGTATATAACAGTTATTTCCAAAGTACAATCTTTTACGGTGTCGAATTTTGGGAAAATTCTGTCGACAGCAACTCGACATTTATTTTACAAAAAAGAGATGTAAAGTTAAAAATATTTACACTGGCCAATGTGGTGTACATATTCAAAGTAGGCATAGCTGCATTTAAAAGAAAACGAAATTTCACAAAATTTTCTGCCATACACAATCACAACATTCGTAACAAAGACACTTTCTTGATACCATCATTCAATTATGAAGTGAATCGAAAAGGACCACTATACATTGGAGTTAAAATTCTTAACGGGTTTGATTCATTCGAAAATGAAACTTCAGTTAACAAATCCAAGAAAATGTTGAGAAAACTTCTACAGACTGAAGACAGACTATTATCTCAACAAATTTTTGACGACTCTTTTCAATAGCTTCTACCACCAAGTACCTACCTAAAGTACCTACATTTTTGAATATTATTGTATTACGTGAATGAATTATTATAACAAAGCGTGATTTTTTTAATTTTTATTTTACGGTGATTCATTATTCATTACTTCATGAATTACTTGTACTTTTCGTATTATTACCTATTCTACGGTAATGTCATCATTGTGTATATAAATCATTATTTTAAAAATATTTGTTAATTTAGGTCATATTAATATATGCGTTACTTATTGTACGCACTGTATTTACGTCAAGATGCCTGATTATAGAAATTGGTATTTGCAGGGAATTTGTAAGTAGCGAGCGAATTATTTTAATCAATAAACTGTTGGAGAGTACAAAATATGGCAGAGATGAAGATCAAAGAGGCTTATCAAAATTAATGAAATTAGGCACTATTAATTCAGCATATCCATTACATGAAGGCCCGCTGATATTCGGTCCTAGTGACGTGGTGAATGCAAATAATAGACAAGTAAGTGAAGTATCAAACATTCATCTACATATAAGTGTCAGCCACAATAGTGATATTTCAATCATTGTGCTTGTTTTCAATTGAATTGATTATATCCGAGTAATTACACAAAAACATTGTAATGTAATGAAAAAAAATTAGTCGAAAAATGAAAATTGAACAATTATAATAAACTAAAAATTAAAAGATTTCAAGCCAAGTTGCTTCACGATGTTTCGATCCACAATCGTCTTCGGGTGATGATTGGACTGTTTCTCCGAGAGATGACTATTTATAAGTCATTCCAGTGCTTTCACCTATCCCCTCTTCCCTCTCTCCACTTCACCGGTTTAGCAGGAGATGACCTTTTGGCGGTAGTTGACCGTTTTTCGCTTGATTATGGGTTTCTATATGTTGTGTATCTCTACGCTAGCTTGGACAAAATATATGCAGCTTCTTTAATTTCCCTCCTAAACCAGTGTTCTTTCCTGTAGATAATCTTAACTTGTGACCACTTGATGTTATGTTGATGAGTCCAAACATGCTCTGCTATTTCCGATTTGCTGGTTTCTCCTCGCTGGGTGCGTTTCTTGTGTTCGGCAATGCGGACTTTCAATGGCCTCTTAGTTTCACCAATATAGTATTTGCCGCACTCTTGGAATCGCAATCCGCGTTTGGTAGCCTGGTTTTCGTGGGGCTACTATAGATGATGTTTCCTGATCTGAAGCAGGTTCTGAGTTGTACTTGGATGCAATCCTTTGTATCCTTTCCGAAAATCCTGTGATGTAGGGGTGCAATCACTGGTTGTGCCGACTTCTTTTCCTCGCGAGCCTCTTGCTGTCTTTTAGCCAAAGTCTGTTTCAATATCACTTTGGAGTAACAATTCCGTTGAAGATCTTTTTTGATGATGCCTAGTTCTTCTTGAGACATTGTCAAGCATTGAAACTTATGATACACTGTTTGGAACCTTTGGTGTAGTAATGAATATTACTGGAGTATTGAAACTCCAGAAATTGATGGGCAACTGTTAGAAGCAACTTCAGTGAGCGGTTCACGATCAGTGACGTAAGCCCTAAGAAAGTCCTCTTCCGAAAAAGTTGCTCTATCCAATAAGGAAATTCCTGAGCATCTAAAACCACTCAAAATATTAGTTGGAGTAAAAGCCCTTGGAAAAGCAGTTCCCAAAACCTCTGAAACGCAATCAAAAGTTTTGCCTGTATTATTGACCAGCCATGACTCGAAACCTTGACCATAAAATGTTTTTGAAGGACCGTATAGGGTTAAATCTAGGGGGTCTAAGAATTTAGAAAACATTTTCTCAGACGATCCTTTACACTCCCAACAGTTCCAGGGGGTGCACCATATATCATCTTGTCTTTAAAAAACACCTCAGGGAATATCAATATTGGAGGAATTTAGTTTCCAACGGCATTTACAAAGGCTATTATAATAAATAGCGATTTTCTTTCAGGCGAAGTAGCACTACCAAGTTGCTTTATTCCTTTGGGGGCTACTATTTTGGACTGTGATTGCACCGTGCTGAGCCCAGTCTCATCAAGATTCCATATTCTCTGTGGAGTGATTGATCCAAAGCGAGTATGAACACTTTGAAGGTTGTCAAAAAAACTATTTCCGTTTGTTTTATTAAAACTTGTAGATCAACTTAAGCTAGTAGCTTCCAGTTTCCTAATTGATAAAATTTCCCGATGCCTATTCATAAAGCCACGCATCCATTCTTCCCCTGCAATTTCATCCTTGTCACAACCTGGTGGATAATTCTTTTTATTGGCAAAGGCAAATTTGTAAGCGAAACTTCTCACCCCACTTTTTGTCAAACCATATTGCATTTTCGCCATTTTTTGAATATATTCTACGAGACTATTTTCATTGGAAGAGACTAATTTGACGGCGTTATTCGCAGTGTATTTATAGGTAGCACCTCCACTTTCTTTATACTTTCTAGATTCTCTTGAAAGTGTTGCAAGGCTTATGTGAAAAATATTCACTGCATCCCTATATGAAATTTTCTTCTCTGGATCAGAGAAGTTAACAGCTTTTAGAACCTTATAATTCTGGATCCACGGGGTCTCGTTTTTTACCTTCTTTACTACGCGGCATAGTTCTGAATAGAAAAAATATCGATGTTTCAAGGTACAATAGGTTGCAACATAACATAAAATTACTGCCTTCGTGGCGAAGCTAAGTTTCCAAACAACGAAGAGATTGGAACCTTTGGTGTGAAAGTTGAATAACTTATTTCGAGATCAATTGCCCTAACACCAAACTGATATTTTTGCACTCGACGCGCGTTTCGCCAACAGAGTTAGCATCCTCAGGAGAAGAAAATTGATAGCTAGTCTAGTCTGGTTAGTCCTTATATACTAAAATTTGTTACCTGAGGTTGTATACCTGAAGTCCAATATGGAATTTCTCGGTAATTAACTACCTGCAAGTTCTTAGTAATTATTCTCTTCCTAACAAATCGTTATTTTTAACACCTCGACACGTGTTTTGATCACCAATTGATCATCTTCAAAGAGGAAGATTAAAACTAAGGACTAGTGCGAGCTGATCCTATTTATGCTATACAGGTAAACCATCCAGGCATACCAACCTAAATTAATTTTACAATTTTGCCTTATCTATTATTTTACAATATATGTTTATATTAAACAATTTTCAGCTATATAAAAATTAATTTCACAATATTGCCTATCAAAATTTATTTTTGCAATGTGTCCTTATGTAGTAATCAGTAAAACCAACAACATTATTTTATTTTATTTTAACAAGCTATATAGTATAGGTCCGTCATCGTTATTCATATTATTGTGTTCACTTATTTCTACACTCTCATAGGCATCTAGTTGCCTGTTGTTGTAAACTTGTCGAACTAATCTTAATGAACTGAAGTCTATGGAATGGTTTTGTTGCAAAATATGATGGGCGACTGCTGATTTTTCAGGTCTTCCATATTTTAAGTGTGCTATGTGTTCCTTATATCTTACTTTAATAGATATTTTTGTCTGTCCATAATATTTTGCATCGCAGTCCTTACATTCAATTTTGTAAATTCCAGACTTTCCGAATTCTCGACTTTGTCTTTTGGACTTCCCAAAAGGCTCTGTAGTGTATGACTTGTTTTAAAAACCACCTTCATACCTAATTCTTCGAAAATCTTTCCAAAGATCCTCGTATATTGGTGATATGGAACTGAGATGTATTTATCTTGGTTTTTGTCCTTTCTGAAAGTCGAGATTTCGTTCATCCTTAACCTAAACTTTTTTTTTCTTATTATGTCATCTGCAATACCCCTCGAGAAACCGTTAGTGGCTGCTATTTCCTGTATTGTACGTCTTTCTTCTCTGAACCTATCATGTGTTAGAGAGAAAGTCAAAAGACGATGCACTAAAAAATTCTTTTTAGGAGATAGCGTATGACTGAAAATTGTCACTGCTCTCTAACTTTGATGTTTACTCATCAACGTCTCACTCGTAACTGTTAATAAACTGCAATGCTGGAATTTGTCTCCGGTTTTATATTATCATAGGTGGGCGCGGCTTCGTTTCTCTCAATTGGATTACCTGACCTTGTGTACAATTGAGATCAAGTAGCCAGATTTAATTCATGGTCATTGCCTCTTCGTTTCAAGTGAAAGTACCCTGTGTTCCTGATCTATTGCTTCTCTATATATTCTTGGCTAGTATTTTTGAGTTTTATTGAGTGTTTCTGTATCTTTGAATTGAAAAATATAATTGCCTTCTCTGAGAGCATATTTGGCGATAGCTGATTCGTTGGTTTGTTCGAAGCGACAATTTCTCTTGTGTTCAGAGATACGAGTACCTATACTTCTTTTAATGATTCCAATGTAAACCGACCTGCAGCTACATGGAATCCGGTATACAACGGGAGTTGCTTAAAACTCTCTGACCTCAGACTTTCTCTGATAGTTTTCGTTGGCCTACATATTGAAATATTGTTTTCACGTCGTGTTTTTCTCAAATTCTTTCAATCCGGTCACTAACATTTTCAACATAGGGAAGAAAAGCTTTTTTCTCAACGGGTGCTGGGGTTACTATAGCGTTCTCTCTGCTCGGTCGTATAGATCGCTCTGATTCTACTTCGCTACACCCATTTTCTTTGAATGTAATTTTTAAGTTTTTTTATTTCTTCAGAAAGACTCTCAGGTTCACAGATGCGTCGTGCCCTCTTAACCAACGTATCACTTACTCTCATTTTCTTAACCTTATTTAATCACCGTATTTAATTTAATTGCCCATATTTTCACAGGGATGGTGTTTTTTACAAACAGACGGGTGGTATAGTCGAAGTAAACGATATTGTGCATACTTGAAGCCAAAAATACCGATACATAGAAATGAACCGGCTGCGAACTAGTCCACGTGGACTGTAGACTTGGAAGTTCGTATTGGATAATTTTTACTCACCGAGTTTTATGATTGGCTGTAGAGTCATAAAATTAAATTTGAAGTCATGTTACGGTGACGAATAGAAAACGGGGAATGCGGAGATGGTTTTCGCCGTCGTGTCATGAATGTTCAGTTCAGGAACTGATCGCGATTTGAGTGTCGAAATTCGATATTGTGCAGTTATTATTACTTGAAATTTTTGTTATCTATTTAAAATGTGGCGTCCTTGGACAAGTACTAATAGTATTAACGAGTGTGATACCAACGCAGACTTTTTCCAGTGTAGTGATTCCAATAGGGATGGTGAACAATGCGAAAAAGAGATACCAGTAAATAATATTCGGATGCATTTGAATATTGAAACACAGAGAGTATGTTTCAATGTATAAAAGAATCCACATCTCAAGTTTAGTTTCGAGGAAAACAAACTATCAAAAGCAACATCAGATTTGACCAAAAATCTTTTCTCAACTGTACGTAAAATAGTCTAAAACAAACCTTATGAACGCGGGACGCGATGTGATACAGGATTACCAAAACCTTCAAATGTTCATCTAATAAAATACAATATTCGACTGTTACAAAAGCAATGAGATTCCTACAACTGAAATCATAAGGAAAAAATTGAATACTTCCGACCACAACGTGAGCTGCTGTGACAAAACTATGATTTACATTTGAAATAATAAACAAATGACAAGCAGTCATGGAAAGCAGAAGAATAGTGGAATTGCGTAACAAATGCTTAGAACTATTAACTGAATATAGACAAGTACAACGGAAAATTCTCTATTTGGACGAATCTTGGTATGACACTCACGACACAGTTACGAAAGGGTGGACTGATGGTTTGAGAATGTGTACGCCTAACATGCCTACAAACAAAGAATCGCTACTAATCATTGTGTATTGCGGAGGAAGTAAAGGATGGGTCCTGAATTCTTCGAACTTATGTGGAAAAAAACTTGAGGACTGCAGTGTTGACAATCATAAGAACATGGAAGCTAATACTTTCAAAAAATGGTTTGAAAACACATTAATCCGAAATTTGGATGCGAATAGTGTAATAGTTCTTGACAACGCTTCCTATCATTCGCGACAGCTCATCAAAGTACCGAACACTAGACTTTTCTGATCTAGGAGATCGAAAGTCAACGTACTTTTTATCGTATTCAATAAAGTTGATTTCATAAATCGTTCTATTTCATCGATACAAAGTGATGAAATTTCTCTGGGACTTTTTCAAGACAAACACAATTCAACAGTTCAACGGAATACCGAATTCACCTATTTAGACATTTTTTGAGATAGAGCATAAAATGATGAAAACAAATGTATAATTATAATTTTGTTTGTTTGTCACCATGGTATACATTTTTAATGCACGGTTTGGAACCTTTGGTGTAGTGATGAATATTACTGGAATTTTATCCCAACACAAAACCGTTATTTTTAACACCTCGACACGTGTTTCAATCACCAAGTGGTCATCTTAAAGAAGAAGATTAAACTGGTAATTAAAACACGTGTCGAGGTGTTGAAAATAACGATTTGGTGTTGGGATAAAACTTCAGTAATATTCATGATATATACATTTTTAAAGTTCAGTTTGTATCTTTACAGTTATTACACCACTACTGGGCTAACTTTCAATTTTGGTACAAAGAAATACCTTTGGATATGATTGAAATGTACTTTGGAAGTGAAGTAGCATTTTATTTTGGTTGGCTGGAATTTTTCAATATGATGTTGGTACCTGCGGCTATTTTTGGAGTATTGGTGTTTTTTTCGAGCGTTCTGATGTTGGTCATTAGAGATCACAGTCGAGTGTAAGTTTGATATTAATGTCCATGTTTCCTAGAGTAAATATTACCGCATTTTCTATTGATTCTTACAGAAAAAATGCCCAAAACTTTCAAAAGATTAGGTATGTACGTTTCTCATGGGAAATGGATTTTTGTAAATTTTCAGTGTTATATAGACCTTGATGCACTGATCAAAAGTGTCTATGACCACAGATATTGAAAGTAGGCAGTTTTTTATATACTAAGATTTTTTTAGGTTTTTGAGAATTTTTGCTCTTGAGCCTAACCAGAATTAAAATTGATGTTGTTACAGCTTCTGGAACAACATTAATTCAATGTCAGTCAAAAAAGTTTTTTTTATTCTCCTTATTTTAGTTACAACAACTGAACATCAAACTAAATATAACTATATACAGGGTGAAACAGAGAGTAAACAAATAATAATGAATATAAATACTAAACATTCTCTTCCGCAGTAATTGATTCGAATGAAAGAAATTACTTCAAATCTGATTATTTTCGGGAGACTTCACTTTGAATACATCAAGTATGCAAAGTGTAGATAATTGATTAATTCCTTTGCAGAACTCAATTAAGAAACAATTTAATTTTTGTTTAATTCACTCACAATTCATGAAATTAATATACACTTCTCGTCTCTGGCGATGTAATTGGACATTCATTTCCGACTTCTGTATGCCTATTTTCATAGTGATGTTAACTATCAAAGTATTGGTCGAAATCCATAATTTCTGATAATGGACAAATGAAAAATTAACACATTAGCTGAACTTTACTCAATAATATATGTGAATTGTTTACAAAAATCGTAGTAATAACAATAAGAGTGGTGTTGGTATTACTTTTGTAGGTAATAAAGCCAGTGATTCTCAGATAGTGTTTTAGCTTCCAAGAAAGATTCTGGCTAACAGCATTCTCAGGAATGATAATATAACCATTCTAATAATGGACGCTTGAATAAGATGTATTCCAGTTTAACCAATCTGTCCAAAATGGCATGAATTTTTCCAAGATGTATAATTATTGGCTCATTAGATCTACTCAGATCACATGACTTCTATGCCCAATGATTTTTTCTACAGTGTGGAGAGTTGGTGCTTGGCAGTGTGTCATCATTTGATAGGATTATATTTGGAACATTCTGAATTATTATTAAAAGTCAAATAATCGATAAATTCACTACAATTTTTGGAAGTATGTTTCCGATGCTTTAGGCAGCTAGTGTTCACCTAAGACAACGTGCTCCCGAAAACTGTGATGAAATAATTAATATTCCAAGATATTGAGTCGGAAAATGTGTTAACAATATTTGAAAAAGTCTGCTCCAGCATTGAAATTAACTTTTTATTTCCGGGTCACTGAAAAAGAAAAGCAAAATAGAAAATACTTCAAGTTGTTGGTTTGAGCCGATTTCGGAACTGTCCCACGTCAACTTTGAAATGACCTTTACCTGCATCGCAAGATGGGTTTGACCTTAATTCACGCCATATATTTCTGACAAGATGAGTTTGATCAACTCAAGCCAGTCACGCGGCTATCTCGAATTTTTAAGGATACGATTTCAAACAACATTCTACTGAGTGAATAAGAGGTGTCTCCTAGAGTCATATTTCTGACAAGGTGACTTCGACCCCGAATGAACTTGAGCCATGTCACGCAGCTATTTCGAAGATTTGAAAATTGGATATCGCGTATACTGAATATTCCTACAAATTTGTTTCACCATTAAGAAGTAGTGAAAGTTTCAGACATGAAGATAACGTGCGTCGTCATAATATGCAGTCCTGCAGGCTGGATGATGATGCGGTTCCCCCAGCAAAACGACCCAGAGCAGATTCTGCCCTACCAAGTGCAGTTCAGGAATTGTGCAACTACTGTGGTAGAAAAACCGGAGAGTAAATTAAATCGATTTGGTCATTTAACAGGTTGCAACGGCAATGCTTATGCTTGTGAATTTCCAAAGATTCTAAATAATTGAGTTTACAACCCTTCCTTGCATAGTGCAGAATTTCCGTATCGCTTAGATTCGGAAACTATGCAAGAAAGGGTTGCAAACTCAATTATTTAGAGTCCTTGGAAATTCACAAGCATAAACATTGCGGGTGCAACCTGTTAAATGACCAAATCGATCTGTAGGAAAAACAGATTGTTAGTTTATTGTTCAAGTTTGAAAATGTCCATATAGGACAAAACTGCGGGTTGTAACCTAATAGTTCATATTTCTCCCTGATATTCTGCGGTAGGGAGGTGTACATGTAAGAAATGAAAGTTTGTTTCGGTCATCATGTTGCAAAGCTCATCCAAATTATTGTTTCCATTGTACCGTCTCCTTACTCTCCTCTTGATTTAGAGCAAGAAAGAAACACCTGTGCCCAGTTGGAATGACTAGCTCCTAATTTGCGAAGGCGAGGACATATGTCAATGCTAAAAGCAGTCATTGAAACTGAAAGTTTTCATTTTGACGCCATGCACAGAAGTTTCTAGAAATACTGTCCTTTCTTCAACACCGTACCAAAAAAAAACAAGGAATACAGTTTACTCGATAGTTTTAATAGAGTTTGCATCCCTAACGTTGAAATGAATGGATAAATGGAAATAATAAATAATCAATACTGGATTTAAACTGTCACTATAAAAAGAAATCAGTGTCAAAGTTCTAAAATTTTCTACACTTTCAAATGGTTTTTTCAATCGAAAAAATGACAAAATATAGGGTCTCACTCTAGGGTTTGATGCACTAAATCTCACAACTCCTTATTGCAATCATATTTCCAGAAACCATCAAAGAAACTCATGGCTTTTGTTTACAGTCCTCCAACTAGAATACTCTGATTCGGGACTCCGGCACTCTTCAGCAGTAGGCACTTTGGGCCTATGTGTTGCAGTGCATCAAGACACGTCAAAGACGATCTCCTGTCCGCTACTCAGAAAAGTTCCACTATAGAAATTTCAAATAGTTGCTATGTTACTATCTACAAGTTACCTATAGGGCATTCCAAAGAAGAGTACTGCAAGTAGCTTCATCGGGCCAGAACCCGTCATTGGTATCGCTTTAGGCTTTGACGAACAAACAGGATGAACTACGATGTTCAACAGGCCTTATAGGTCACTGTCATCTGATTCATCAAATGCAGAGATTCGGACTGTCGGAAGACAGTGTGTGTCACCTCTGTTTGGAAAATGATGAAACAGCAGGTATACCGAATCAGGTTTTCAAAGTTTGGCAGAGCCGCATTCTTACCATCTGACCTAAAAGAACACTCATTATACAAAGTAATGGGCTTCGTTAAGAAGCTGGGTTTATTCGGTCAAGTGTGAATAGGTGTGAGACACAATAAACCCTTGCGGAATTTCATCAGTTCGGACTTCCATTGTCTAATATTACATAAAATTATTTGAAATCCCTAAAAGAACCAATACAAATTGGAAATTAAATTGAATAGCTGAAAATAACAATTATATTGAACAAAAAACCCTGGAATGAAATTACAATGATATAAAACACAAGTGAAAAATTGAACAATTAGAAAATTAGAAATTGAAAATTGAGAGATTTCAAGCCAAGTTATTTCACGACGTTTCTATTGTTAGTATCCACAATCGTCTTAGGTGATGACTGGCTGAAAATAACAATTATTATAAGCAAAAAAAAACCTGAAATGAAATTACAGTGAAATAAAATACCGGTGAAAAATAGAGCGATTAAACAAAATATTGAAAATTAAGAGATTCCAAGCCAAGTTACTTCATGACGTTTCTATTGTTAATATCACAATCACTTTGTTGATGAATTCTGCATTCGTTTCATTCATTTGACGTGCTGCACGTTGATATCCAACTATTATTAACGAAGATACAACTTAGTGTCTGCCCTCTTGGTATCGTCTTTTGTTTAATTTTCTTTGTCAATTAATTCATCATGTCTTTTTCCTTCTATTTTATGTGCTGCCTGTTGAGATCAAACTATTATTAACGAAGGTGATTTGGTCCCAGCATTTTATATTTATTCTGACCTCATTTTAATGTAAAGAAATGGAGATAAAACAAAATTGAGCAATTTTCTGCGAATTGAAAAATTATCATTCTCTCAATATTGAATATGAAATGAAACACTGTGAATATTGAAAGATGAAATATGAAAATGTATAACAATATTTTCTACTTCAGGATGGAAACGTGCTCTGCAACTAACATGTATCTCTGTCCCACCTGCAGTACTGGAAATTTATGCAAGTTCTTGAAAACCGTCTCCGATTATTGTTCTTATGCCAAGTGGGACTTCGTATCAGATAACTATTCTACAGTAATATTTTCCATTTTCATGTCAATCTGGGGTAAGTTGCTACAAGCAGATCATCAATACTATTTCCTTTGTTCAATTTTATTTGTTGATTTGTCATCAGTCCCAAAGGTTGTTTTTAGTTTTGAGTTTTATTATAATTGACTAACAAGACTAACTCTAGAGCTTATATTAATGATTGTTTGTCCAATGAAATATAAAATCTTGCAGCATCTTTTCGAGTAAACTATAATAGTTCTGAATATAGGATACAGAAAATACAACGTTTGTCTAATTCCTACTGAGATTTATATCTGTTGCAACCGGTTTTGGTTTATTAAACTATTCTCATTTATTTGAGAATGGTTTGAAAAATCAAAACCTGTTGTAGGAAATAAAAATCTCAGTTGAAATTAGACGATACTTACTTTCTCCATTCTATATTTTATATGAATTTCCATAAAATAAATAGGGTATTATGCACTAACGGAGTCTCTTGAATACCAGCCAACTAAAGTACTCAGCCTTGCTTCCATGCACTGGGCTTTATGAATTTGAAATATATTGTTCCTAATTCATTTGAGATTAATATGGAAAACAAAAAAATGAGGAGGACTCTTTGAGCGAGTCTTCGCGAAAAATGAGTGACCTGGAGATCCAAGTGAGCTAGGAAAGTCATTCACAAACGGCTGGTAATGGCAGCCCCACTGAAACCGTGATTGCAGAACTGACAAATTTCGCACTGCAACACAAAATACTATTAGTATCGCAGAATTGCAAACTGAAAAGAGTTTGGAGATTTGCTGAGGATACGAAAAGACACCAATGGATATTTGCAGGGGAGTTCAATGAGAAACCGAGTGGGAATATTGAAACTTTCTCCCAGAAAAAAATTAAAAACAGAAGCAGACTAGGTGATAGGATGAGACTGCCAGCGGAGTGACAGTTCTTGACGAGCCTTCTCCGGGAGTCTTCGAGTCGGAAACAAACTGACCAGATTCAGGAGAGACTGGTTCGTGAATTGTACAATACTTCCTCAGACAACCACACTAACCTTCAGCTCAAAAGAACTTTTGTTAGTGCAGGGGTCCTATGCTCAGAGAAAAACGGAAGAATGACTCAGAGCAAGCATTGGGGTCGTGGAACGTCCATAGAACGAGACGGGCTTGACCGTAGTCCAGGCCTATAAACTTCCGAGAAGACTGAGGGTCCTGGTCTTCATACTGTGATAAAAAGATGAGGGAGGACAGTTGGGACATACCTCAGTAAGTAGAATCTTGCTCTGAAAGTGTTTTGTTCATCGGGCTGTTTGGGATGTAGGATACGGGTTTGCTGAAATCTTTGGATTTGGGATTCGGGATATTTGTTTTTGGCGAAGGGTGGATTTGAGTTATTTTACTTCTGTGGATCTATTGTGGCTGTCAGTGAGTATGTGAGTCAATGACGTCATCTACGTATCGAGGCATACATATAGGTTTCTGTTCAGACATGTCAATTGCTCTGGTTTCGAAGTCTTTCACGTGAAGGTTTGTAAGGACTGGAGAGAGTGAGGAACTCATGGGGGCGCCTTTCACTTGCTTGTTAACTTTGCCCTGAAAAAGAAAATAGGTGCTGGATATGCAGTGGCTAATGAAGTTGAGAGTGTCTTGGAAAAATTGCTATTACGTTTTGATGTGTAATAAAGTTTTGAATTGTGAGATATTGAATGATTCCAATATTTCAATGCAGCGATAGGAATGTGGGACATACGATGAGGACTTTGGCTAGTGGTTGGAGAATATTACCAAGGTGATTGGCAAAGGCCATATGTGGGGGTTCCGAAGACACTGACGATAGGACGAAGTGGGATGTTTGGATCGTGTATTTTCACTACCGGTTTCACTGATACTTTTACCGGTTGACCGGTTTTAAACTACCAATTGGCCCCATCACTCATCCAGAGACATGAATACCAGACCAGAATCTGTGGACCCACATTTGACGCTTGTGAGAAGGCAGATTGAAACACTCGCAAAGATCAGTGACGAGATCTGGGGCGTACGCAGTCTTAGACCTCAGAATAGTTATAGATTTTTGAAAATGGCTTCGAATCGAAGCTGAAATGTCGAACAACTAAAAATACGAGAAGCAGTTACCCATTCACTTCAGATTATGAAATGAAAAAATAAATAGATGAGTACTACTCCAATCATTCACAATTTGATTTCAATTTGAGATCCACCGTTAGACCTGTTTTAGCCAGTTGGGCATCATCAGTACGCAGTGATTTTTATAAAGTACTCTCCTGGTTTTTCAGTGTTCGTCTTCAGTCGAAGACCGCTTCCCAGTACTGATGATGTCCAATAGGCTGAAATCGGAGTAGTACCTATCTATTCATCTTTTCATTTCATAATCTGAAGTCCATGGGCAACTTCGTCTGGTGATTTCAATTGTTCGACGTTTAGGCTCCCCAGATATCCAGAGAGGGTGCTCTCAACTTTTTTTCAAAGGGGGGAAAGTTAAGACCTCGTTAGTCCTTAGCTGGCAGAAGGTTCGACTTCTGAGAGTTGTCGTTTATAGGGGTGCGATAGCTGGATAACAGGAAAAACATATTTTAAACATATTTGAAAAAAATATTATTCATTATAAGTATAACGCAATTTGGATTTCAAAAAAAATAAAGTTGTACAACATGTACTTCTCCATGTTATTGATGATATTGTTCAAGCCTTAGACGAAGGTGGGTGTACTGTTTTGGTCTTGCTAGATTTTAGCAGAGCTTTTAATACTATCAACCATAATCTATTGCTTGAAATTCTACACAACTTGGACTGTCGAATAATGCTAGGAATCTCATGACATCATACCTTGGAGGTCGTAAATAATTGGTTTTAGTTGATGGACAATCCTCCAATTATATAGATTAGAAATGCGGAGTATGCCAGGGTTTCATTTTGGGGCCATTGCTTTTTGATATATATATACTTCCTGTCTAGTGAAAACTCTTCATATTTGTAGTGTACACTTATGTGCAAATGATACTAAAATTTATTTTAGTTTTCACCCCAGTACGGTAGTGGAGTCATGTGCCCTTATAAATTAGGAACTTGATAGGTTCATTAAAGTTACAGAAGTCACACTCTCAGTATTAATTGCACTAAATCTAATGTTATTCTTTTTGAAGATGAGATTGCTGCTAGTGTAAATATTGTAATGAAAAATGAAGTACTTCAAAACGTAGGTGAAGCCAAAAGTTTGGGTTTAATGTTGGACTTCACTCTCAAAACTATATATGGCAATAAATATTTCCTTTCTATTCAAGTGAGGTCAAATTTGTGTAAGTCATTAATACTGTCCATATTTAATTATGTAGATGTACTTAATCTATGGTCCATTCTTGTCCAGCCAATATCAAATAAAAATACAAAAAGTACAAAACTCATGCTTACGATTAATATTTGGTATCCGCATAAGAAATTATATTTTACACGAATTGAAAGATAATGGTTGGCTAAATATGAGCAATAGATGGAGATTACATGCTGCTGTTCTTTTTAAAAAAATGTATTTTCTATAAAACACTCTCATATTTGCACAAAAAATCACCTGTCGATCCGACATATATAATCTAAATGTCCAATATAAAGGAATCCTTTCACCGTTAATCTTCAGATTAGAAATATTCAGGCGTAGTTATACTTATCAAATCTGTTCAATGTACAATCAGGTCCCTTCCATGTTCAAATCCTTCAGTTTTGAAAGATTCAAGAAGGGCTATAAGAAACACTGGTTTTCAATGCAATCCTGACATACGTACGATGGAAATTAGATAAGAAATAGCTGTAATTGTTTAACTGTCATTCTTTTATTCTTATATATTGTTAAATTCAACACACCTAGCAATATATGTAATTAAGGTTAAGTGGAAGAACAATTCATGAGCTTATTTTATATTATCTCATGAACTGAACTTCTCCTTTTGCTATTCATTCTATATATGGAAACAATGAAGTCGTTTTTTAACCGTAGTTTGCGCTGGTCAGGCTCTATCACCCGAAGCCCCGATACATTCGGGAGGGCGCGCCAGCATTATCAACCAACGACCACTCCCCACGCCGTGGGGTAAGTGATCATTGGATCCAAGAACCATGTGCCCTGAGCAAGCGCAGTGCGCCTAAGAACGACATCCTTCTGCATCTGTCCGGCTGAGATTTCTTCCTTAGTGCGGCAAGCCGGTATGATTTCAAGATTCGAGAGTAGAGAGGGCATCATTCCACCAAGGACTCCAATAATCAGAACAACCATTTCGACAGAGTGGTCTGGATAGAGTCTGCGGAGTTTGAAGAGAAAATCTCGATATTTTATCCGTTTTTCCTCCTTTTTTCGGACGATATTCGTCTCGCCAAGAGTTGAAAACCCCACGACAAATATCGTCTGGCTCTGGTGGTCGAGAAGGACTACATAAGGCTTATTAGCTTATATGAGACTGAGAGTGGGGAACGAATAGTTCCAATAAATTCGGCACTTCTCGTTCCTCACAACAGATTCACTATCCCCCGGGGCGTAGAGCAACACCGGTGTTTTGTCAATACCGTACGTGTGCCATAGATGGTAATATAGCACTCTAAGGGCCACGTTATGTCGATGAATATGGACATACTCGGGCGCCTCGCGGCAAGCCCTGCACCTTGTGACAGGAACCTCTATACCCATCACGCGACTGCGCTAGACTGAGGTGTTGAAAACACCATCCTGGGAAGCCATGATGAACCCCTCAGTTTCTGACTTCAGCCCACTCGACCTGAGGAACTCAAAAGTCAGGCGCTTTGATAAGCCAAGGTCTCCAATACTATTGAAGAAGACCATATGCATTGGCTTATCCTTGTGTTTCCGCAGAAATGAGGTGATCTCTGCGGCTTTTATCTGAGATTTTTGCTGAACGGGTTCCAACTCGGTGACAGAGTTGTGATCACCTCGTTCAGTGTCGACAACTAAACCAAGTTCATCAGCTGCTCGGGCAGATGCCCTGAAGACTAGGCAGAGAAGGGGATGCGAACTCCTGACGACTTTACAGGCTATATCCAGTACCATTCTGTCATGTAGACACTTCAAACTCCACGGCCTTTCTGTTATCGGGGAAAGTACAACCGTGGAACAGACGATTTGTGATGCAATTTCCTTCAGAGATGCATCATTTTTCGGGTCTTTACGTCGAGTTGATACAGCTCCTCCCGAGTCCACTTCACTACTCCAATCGAGGAGAGTAAGAATGAATCGGCGGCAAGCATATTTGTTGCAGCAACTTCGTTCTTCCCCAACAGTTCCGATGACCAGATCTGTCGAAGTTTGTGCTGATACTTGCCGCGGAGAGAGTTTTTTGCTGCTGTTATCTCTTGTGAGTGGCGTTGTTCCACCCCGAGGTAAGTATACGTCTCTCCGGCATCCAAATGGTATAGGATGCTTCCATCTACGAGCTGCACATCCTCTCCGTAGCCCCCGCATCGTCCTCTTTTGAACCTCCCAACAATGTTGCTTGTGTAGTTTGAGTCTCCAATAAAACGGATAGCCGTTTTCCATATACGATGTATGTGAGGCTACAACTGTTAGTTAAGGTATGAAGATTCCTTGGTCAAGACGCCCCCTATCCCAGCGTCTGGGTTTGTAAGGCATTTCTTGGTCTATTTTTTACAATTTTTAGTTGGTTTCAGTGAATTTTTTATTTGTATATTCCTGTATTGAATAGACTTTCGAAGTGTTCAAACTTCAAAGTATTGAAATTTGTAGAGTCATCTTCAACTGTCTAGTGTGCAATCTTGTTCATGTTTCGGAGGAGCTAATTTTGCAGCAGTAATGTGAGTTACTATGCTATCCAATTGGAAATTATTATTTGATGATGCTAGCAGTGTTGTGTCCCCTGGCGATGGTATGTATGAATCTGGCACATATGCCTTCCTCGCCATGTACTGGAAACTCAATACAATAATCTTCCTTCCGATGATAACTGATGAGTCCCATTCTGCATAAATTATATTCAATACACAACGATTCAGTATCATTGAATGTTAAATTAGACCAATCACATGTTAGTGCTCGCCATATGCAGCTACAAATGTCCATCGAAAATGGACACCTACATATAGTAACCTGGTAGATTCTTCAAAATCCTGAATCGGATTCAAAAAAGAAATATAAAATATTTTGGTCCAATTTTATTTCAAACACGATTCATTTCCTTTAGCAATTCATTCTCTCAAACATTACAAACTTTGTGTAACCTGTAATAACTAACTTTGGAAGTGTTTCAATCCTATTCTGGTTACAAAGAAACGAAATATAATTTTTCCTAGTCTCCAATGTATACAACAATAACTCCACTATCGGTCAACCAAATTCAAAATTGAAATACTTTTTGAACGAAGTATCAAAAAATCTCTCCTTTCTACTGAAATAAAATTATAGCAGCCTCTCTGCGGTGACTGATGTCATACTTGAACACATTTTCTATGCCCCGTTTAAAAGTCATGAGGGGGTGGGCAATTTACGTCCGCACTCTATAAGGGGTATGGTGGTTAAAGTGGATACCAATATGTCTTGGCACAATCATGTCGTTGGAATTGCAAAGGTTGCTTCTCAAAAGCTTGGAACACTGCTCCGAACCAGTAAACCGTACACACCTCAGCAGCTTTTGATGATCAGATCAGATGGAGTATTCTTCTCATGTATGGAGCTCTGCCCACAAACATACCTTGAAGTTGCTGGATTCCATCCAGAAAAGAGTCATCCGCCTGATTGGAGACGCGAACATCACGTGCAACCTTGATAGCCTGGAACATCGAAGATACTTTCACGGCAAGTGTTCAAGTGACTTGGCATATTCCACCAAGAGCGTTACATATCAGAGATACGCGACGGACTGTGGCTGCTCATCGTTTTGAGGTTCAACTCAGTACACCTCGAACTTCACTGTTTAAGAACACTTTCATCTGGAGAACTGCGTTTACGTGGAGTAAACTTCCTGAGAAAGTTTTTCCAAATGAATTTAATCTCCAGCGATTCAAATCCAATGTGAATCGCTACTTTTGCACAGGCACCGCTCTTAGGATTTTTCTGTAGTGCTTCTGTTTTGTTCTTAAGAAATCTTAAAAAGAAGGAATCCAGGAAGCAACCATGTTTCAAACCTCTTATTTGTCGCCATTTGTAGAAACGGTAGTCGGGAAAAAATTATAGTTAACAATTATAGAACTTTTCAAAAATTTATATGGAAATAATGTTTTCTCAATGGGACTCGATTTTTTGAACTGATCAAACAATTCCGTAATTTGTTCAAATTTTTTAATTGATATTCAATAATGAAAAATTATATACAGTGTAACCCACTTGAAAGCTTGAGACTTCCTTAAAATTTGCATCTTTCCTCCGATTTCGAAGAACTTCATTTTGGATTGTAGAGTTCAAGAAACTGTACTTTGGGATCAAATATCATTTTCTTTCTACAAAAACCAAGGCCGGATGCGAATATTTTTTAAATTTAAAATACAAGAAATCGTATTAGCGATTTTTTTAAGGAAAAATTCAAAATCATCATTGGACTGAACACTCTCTCAAATGTGGGTATACCAAATTTCATCAAAAAAATATTCAATATTGATAATTCTGTGGTTTCGTTTTTGATTGTTAGTATCCACTCCACAATCGTCTTCGGGTGATGACTGTCATCACCCAATGACGATTATGGATACTAACAATCGAAAAGTCGTGAAGTAACTTCAATTTTCATTTCTTCTCATTCTTCAATTTCCAATTGTTGCTTGTTTTTCATTTTATTGTAATTTCATTTCAGGGTTTTTTTGCTTGAAATAATCGTTATTTTCAGATATTTATTTTTATTTTATTGATTTTTTCAGGAATTTCCAAGCATGAACCTAATGAAATTCACCATTTCATACTTTAATACATAAATTTTGATATCGTCCATTTATACGAGCAATGATCTGTTTCAAGTACCCAACAAACTGAAATATCTGTTGTTACAGCTACTTTTTTCATTAATCTATGGAGAAGGAGATCCAATATATTGAAATTAAGATGGGAAATCAAATTCGAGACAACGGAGATACATGCTAGGTAATATTTGTTAAACTTTACAACGATGAATGCTTGATCTGGATAAAAAATCACTAATTATTCAAGAAACCTTCCATAGGGTCTTCCAGGGACTTTCGCACTTTGACAATGGATAACGGCCATCTTAATTTCATTGAGATGGCCGTTAGTGGTCATTTTTTCAGTCTGTTTTGCCAAATTCCCCATGGACGGATATAGCATTCAACAACACGTGCAAATAATAACATTGTTTTATCAAAATGGGTGCTCTCTTCGGGCAACGTACCGCGCACTTTGACCATTTTACGGGCGAATCATCTTACCGAGAGGACTATTCGCAATGTGCTTTAATCCACTGGTTCAATAAACGATCGACCAACACCTGTGTGTCGACAAAATGTAAGATCTGCCGAAAACATCGCCACTGTCACTGAGAGTGTGCAGGAGTCCGAGCCAGTCGATTTTGCGTCGCTCACAAGAACTCGGCCTTTCGCAAACCACAACTTGGCGAATTCTGCGTCGTGACTTGGGTCTGCACCCGTACAAAATTCAACTGACACAGGAACTGAAGTTAAACGACCATAGACAACGTGTGTCAGCTGAATGGGCTCTGGAGTAGTTGGCAACTGATCCTAATTTTCATCGAAAAATCATCTTCAGCGATCAGGCCCATTTCCATGAGTACATGAACAAACAAAATTTTCGGATTTGGGATGATACCAATCCACATGAGGTCCAAAAACGTCCAATGCATCCCACAAACGTCCACATATGGATTTCGGTCCATATTTCTTTGAAAGCGACGTTGACCAAACCATCACTCTTAACGGCGATCATAGGTCGATGATTACCAACTTCTCTAGAGCTGGATTGGATGATCTTGACACCAACAACATGTGGTTTCAACAGGACGTCGCTACGTGCCACACACCTTATGCCACGTTAGATATTCTGCACGAGCGATTTGAGGGCATGGTCATCATACATGGAAATTATTTGCCACTGCCGACCGAGATCGTGCGATCTGACCCCGTTAGATTTTTCTTGTGAGATTTTCTTAAATCGCAGGTCTATGCGAATGAGCCACGACCCACAGCGGTCCTCAAAGTCAACATAACCCATGCCGTATGCCATTGGTCAAATTCAGCCTGATTTATGTGCCAGAATCATTGAAAATTGGACGTTTCGGATGCGCTCTAAGCTGAGAAGACATGACGGACATTTGAATAATGTTGTATTCCACACATATTGCCGTTATCAGCAGGTCTTTTGTTAATTTATAATCAAAGATATGAAGGGCTGAATGAAATACCAGTAATTGGTTTAAGCCGATATCAGAACCTACCCCCACCACTTTTAACCTTGAAATGACCTTCACGTCACACAAAGTAGCCGATGTGACTTTGAGGAGGTGTTATGAGTTTGACCTTGAACGACCTTGGCCAACGTCATACGACGACGCAGACAAGGTGACTTTGAGGTGGTGTTTTAGGTTTAACCTTGAATAACCTTCATTCACTCTACATATTTTCGACAAGGTAACTTTGACTTCGAATGAATTCGAGCCAGTTTTGAACGTACACGATCCAACGTAACCAAGATGACTTTGAATGATTGTTTTGAGTTTGATCTTGAACGATTCTGACCTATGCACACGATGCAAGCAAGGTGACTTTGAGGTAGTGTTTTTGGATTTGACCTCGAACGATCACGTGGCTATTTCGAAGATTCGACTTTGAACGACCTTTTGCAATATCATATGCCTTTGCTAACGTAAATTTTCTTCCTTCCCTTTACCACTTTTTGAGTGAGCATATGAAAAAGGGGTCGCCCACTCACAGGAGTCAGCTTGATATCGCGCATACTGAATATTATTTCGAAGATTTGAGGATTCGACCTTGAACGACCTTCAGCTATATGGACGAAGGCTTTTGGACTGCGTTCTGACTATGACCTCTATATACGTCACATGAAGTAGAGTTTTGGGTTTAACCTTGAATGACCTTTATTCACTCCCCATATTTGCGACAAGATGACTTTGACATCGTGAAGACTCGAGCCAGTTACGCGGCTTGAAGTTTTGAACCTACATGGCACAACGTACCCAAGGTGACATTGAGAGGGCGATTCAAATTTAACCTTGAACGACCTTGACCTACGTCGCACGACGCAGGCAAGGTGACTTTGAGGTAGTGTTTTTGGATTTGACCTCGAACGATCACGTGGCTATTTCGAAGATTCGACTTTGAACGACCTTTTGCAATATCATATGCCTTTGCTAACGTAAATTTTCTTCCTTCCCTTTACCACTTTTTGAGTGAGCATATAAAAAAGGGGCCGCCCACTCACAGGAGTCAGCTTGATATCGCGCATACTGAATATTATTTCGAAGATTTGAGGATTCGACCTTGAACGACCTTCAGCTGTATGGACGAAGGCTTTTGGACTGCGTTCTGAATATGACCTCTATATACGTCACACGAAGTAGAGTTTTGGGTTTACCTTGAATAACCTTTATTCACTCCCCATATTTGCGACAAGGTGACTTTGACATCGTGAAGACTCGAGCCAGTTACGCGGCTTGAAGTTTTGAACCTACATGGCACAACGTACCCAAGGTGACATTGAAAGGGCGTTTCGAGTTTGACCTTGAACGACCTTGACCTATGTCGCACGACGCAGGCAAGGTGACTTTGAGGTAGTGTTTTGGGTTTGACATTCAATGACCTTCATTGTTTGATGCGGCTATTTTGAAGATTTGAGTAAAGATCACACTTTCAAACTCATTTTTCAGCTGGAATGCCTCGAAATATCATCTCATGGCATGATATTTTCATTCTCAGGCCATCGCCTCCAACGCTTTTCATTCGTAGGATCAATATTGTTTTATTCAAATCCGAGAAAATATATATGATATGAATAAAAGATCACACTTTCGAACTCATTTTTCAGCTGGAATGCCTGGAAATATCATCTCATGGCATGATACTTTTATTCTCAGGCCGTCGCCTCCAATGGACATCATTCCATTCCATCATTCCATCATCCAATGGACATAGTATATCCACTATCTTGTATAATTCAACCATAACACTCATATTCATGTTGACTCTTCGAAAAACTGATTGATTACTGACGGATTTTTCTCGATATAGTCACTAACTTGAACTATGACAAATGCAATGGTGAAAACCGCATATCGATATCTATCATCGTTTCTGAGTTACAGGTTTTTCGAAAATGTGCATATCCAAAAAGTTTCAATAGAGCTCAAAATCACCTTTCCAAAAATACAGAACACTTGACTTTTGCTAGTGTAATTTTTGAAATACAGAGCTTTAAGGTTATATCATGTAGACTTTTGAAACGCACACTGATCAAGTAGGCGTAAGACGACGCGACGAAACATCAGAAAGAAATTGTTTGTAGTAAGAAATTGTTTGTAGTAGGTACCTAATGTTGAAAAAGCTTTTCACAGCAGTATTCAAAATGCATAGTTTCAATAAAACTGATAACGATTTATACCTTATTTACTACTGATAAATGAAACTTCAACAATAATAATAATAATGATAAAGAACGAACAATGATATATATTTCCTCAGAGGAGGTGTTCGAAATGTCTATTAGCTTCTCCTACACACATGCGACACCTCTTTTGAACGTTTTTTGCCGAATTAATTAGTTCCATAGGAGTGAGAGAAGCAAAACTTTGCATTATTGCCGCTTCCAATCCGTATCTAGAATTGGTCGGTAAAATAAAAATGAGATCTTTCAACCTTCCCCAGAGATGAAAAGTCCATAGGCGTTAGGTCCGGACGCAATCAGTCGTATCTAATACTAGTAGTAATGATAACAATACAAACAATAGTCGAGATTTATGATGTTTCTGTCATTATCTTGAGGAGTGAGTTTTTGAATTTCTATGGTAATTTCAATCATATCCAAGCTCGCTTCTTATATTCAAAGGGAATTATCTCGAGCTTCAATATATTTTGAAGAAATGTTGTTTGAAGGAAATCATTTTGATAATTTTTGAATGCATTCAGGAGTCTAAAGTGTATTTTTCCAAATGAATATAGTTTCTTGTATCAGAAGAGTGAATTATTTTGGAGGACATTCAAATAAATATTGAAATCTGATTATTTGGAGAAATATTATTGAAGTCTGAAGTGAATTATTTGTTATATTTTATATGAATGGTGTTATTTTTAAAGTGGATCATATCCTATAATCAATGCCGTTTGAAGTGAACTTTTTCAAATATTTTTCTATTATTTTTTCCTGATAAAGTCATTTGTGAGTTGCATCCTATATCTAGCATTCATTCAAAGAGAGCCACTTCATTTGTTCTGGAAATAATCTTATAATTTG